CCTAGATATCCTGGGCGGAAAGATACTGCGGAACTTGCGGATATTTATCATCTCGCGTGTAGTATCCATCCCCAAACTCATTAATCCGTTGATTCCCCTAATCTTGAATCAGAATTTTCGAAGAAGCTTCGTGGAATCGATTTCAAAAAAAAGAAAGAAGCATGGAACATGATATTATTTATTTGTAAAAAATCATATATGGAAACTTTTAATAAATAAAATAAACATATATTTAATACTAATGTCATAAAAAATGTTATTGCATTTAACAACAGAAAGCGAAGAATATAGTGAAACACTTTCATCTTTACATTTCATAGAAAAAATCAGTATACATTTTCTCACGACAGTCTAAGCCAGAGAAATATTTGAGATCGAATGATAAACGAGAAGTGTATAAAGGATGTTCAACTTAGATTAGTTAGTGTTAATTATAATTACAACTTGTTTCGTGTCACGTATTTTATTATATCTTTACTATGCAAGACGATGAGAAGCAAATATGCATTTTTGGTACAAATGTTGTTGAGCGGAAAATAGGTTTAGGTTAGGTTAGGTTAGATGATGAATGAAACGGATATTCGAAGATTGAAGACATATTGGACTCAGATTAACATCAATTCGCTCAACTTGTTAATCGTAGCGATAATTCTGGTTAATTCTGAAATTGATGCAAATACTCCGATAATTGGTTGGAAATTGATGTTGGAGATCTGCAAACATTCGTAAGGATGGGTCAAAAAAAAACAGAGTCAAATTACAGATTATATGGATAATTGTATAAATATCTAAACGAAGTATAATCTAAAAGAAATTTTTCTTCTCTTGTTTTCTAATTTCTCCTTGCTTCCAACAAAATCGAAGGACATCTTGTTCACATTCATATAGCAATATAACGAAATTTTGTTGAATTGATCGAATAAAAAAATGTATCCCTGTCCCGTTGAAAAAACAATTTATATTTCACGTACATATTAATTAACCATAGATTAAATCGATCATAACGATATTAAATAACAAAAGAATTATTTAATTATCAAATTTCGATAATTCGAATACGAAACGATAATGGAAAAATACACCAACGCAAAGTTGTGCAAATATATTCATTGACGCGAGCCGAATATTTTCCAGTGAATGTAAAAATATTTATTTATTCGAGCCACATCGATTACTCGATTGCTCTTCGATCGATTTCTTTGTATATTTTAAGTAAACTCGCACCTTTTTTCGACGTAGAACGTTCAATTTACTCTCTTTTATTAAATCGGTGATATTCACTTCCAGAGATCGAAACGCGTGTATTTATTATCGCGTTACGAGATGCGCTTAATTATAAAGATTACCTACTTTACCGATTAACGGTATAATTACTGCAAAGTATATCGAGGAGCGCTTAGAATGAAATTTAGGGAAGAATTTCGAGTAAAGTAAAGTAAAGCTCTTGGAAATAGTTTCAAGATTCTTTGACCGATACGATTACACCCTCTTTATAATAAGGATTCGTGAATAAAAAAATTTCCTTTCAAACTATTTTACAATGCTCGTATTTTGACTCATAGATTTTGTATTGCAAATCAATGCAATCGATACCTCTTCGAGATAAAATATCAAAGAAGATACGTGTGTGCATCGTTGAACAGAGACGTTTATTCCATTGAAATCTGAATGTTAAAAGTCTCGACTTCGAGTCTTCACTCTGGCTCGCATTAATTTGAATGAAAAGTAATTGGACAGATATTGGACAAAGAAAGGTCTATTTAAAATTCTCTAATAATATAATAATTCTCTAATATTTTCTAATAATATAATATCTAGAACGAATGCAAGGCTAGTAATAAATTACACCAAGGACGAAAAGATAAGGAAGAATCATTTAGATATTTTTTACAATTTTTTAGATGATATACTTTAATTGTCCACTTACTTGCAACGTATATTCAAATTCCTCAAGAATGGATTAATCAAAATTCAAAGCGTGATCGAGCGAAAAATGTAGTACAAATTGAGGCATCAATCGATCGCATACATCCACTCGAACGTAACATCACGCCTCGACGAAAAACACGAATAATATTTTATTTTAACCGTACCCTTTCCCCTTCTCCCATAAACGTCATAAACATCGAGAATTAATCTCGAAATCAACGGTTCGAAGTCGAATCGATGCTCGCCGCGTTTCAAAATCAAGTGAAAAAATTTGAAACGAAAAATCGAAAAGTTGAAGCGACTCACGTCATCTTCGCGCGTTACGTAAATCCTTACGTAAATATCTTGGATCCTTACACGGTGCACGAAATATTACCCCGGAATCGAGGGCAACTTTGCGAACTTTCCCCCGCGAAATTAACGAAATCTTGAAACTTTCGCGATGTTATTTCCGCGGTAAGTGTGGAATATAATGTGGTTAAATGGAACCGTGTTTATTCGAAGCCTTTTGTTTAGTTTCTCTCTTCAGTAAAATCGTATAAATTTCATATATTTCAATTCCATATTTTTTTTTTTTTTAGGCGAATAAAAAAAAAAAAATTTTGGAAAATTTTCCTAAATTGTCCAATTTAATAACTCGAACTTTTGAGTTGTGGAGTGGAATGGTTGGGGATTGTCGAAGAAGGACAATTGTATTCCAGTTTTGTCGCGAGTTTAAGCGTTTCGCGAAATACCGCGGGGAATTGCATCAGGCTTTACAGCCACGAGACATCTTGTTTTGTAAATATATAATCGTAGCTGCGCGTATAATGCTAAAGTAGTCCGTCGTTCCGTCGACGGAGATGTGATTAACGTCTCGCGAAAATATTCGGGAACGCGTTTCGAAAATACTCGAAATACTTGGTCCCTCCCCTCCCTCTCCCCCCCAATTACCATCGAACAGTGATGTGCGTACGAGCTATTCGAAATTCCACGCTTTATCGAAGCGCGATATTGCAGCTATCCCAACGTTTTAATCATCCGGACAATGCACGAATCAAAAATTCCCTAGAAATTATCCAAACTTATCCGAACCAACTTTTTCTATCTCCCAAAATTTTCCCCTAGAAAAATTGAATCTTGGAACAAGAAGAAGAAGAAGGAGGAGGAGAAGAAAAAGAAAAGAAATCATTACGAATGAAAAATTGATGGAAAATTTACTAAGATCAATATTACCTTTTTTGCCTGCCTGAAAATCAGCTTTTGAGTTTCAAAGAAGAAGAAGAAGAAGAAGGAAAAGGAAAATCATTACGACGAATGAAAAATTGATGGAAAATTTACTAAAATCAATATTATCTTTTTTGCCTGCCTGAAAATCAGCTTTTGAATTTCAAAGAAGAAGAAGAAGAAGAAGGAGAAGGAGAATCATTACGACGAATGAAAAATTGATGGAAAATTTACTAAAATCAATATTATCTTTTTTGCCTGCCTGAAAATCAGCTTTTGAATTTCAAAGAAGAAGAAGAAGAAGAAGGAGAAGGAG